AACTAAATAAATATAAAATAAAACAATAAAAACAATCACTCCCAAATACAATATACATGTAAAAGTCACATGTTCCTTTGTATATCAGGTGTAGGCAACCTCCGGGGCCATATGAGGCCCTCTAGTGGCCCTCTGTGGCTATGACAAAAAATTATGTGAGTACGCTGAGTTTTTCAGCAAGCTGTGCACTTGGGAACGGGTAGAAATCAAAATTTTTATGGTTTGGCAGCACGCAAAATGGCCCAGGTTTCCTTGCAGCATCTGAGTCTCCCACAGGCTCAACTTGGTTTTAAAAGCCCTCACCGCAGCGTACAGATCTGTGATGACATGGTCCCGCCCCTGAAGCTGCAGGTTCAGCGCATCCAGATGGCTCGTGATGTCACACATAAATGCAAGCTCACAGAGAAACTTGTCTAGAAAGCTCCTGTTCTCCACCTTCCTGTTTGGCCATTTTTTGGGAGGGGTGTCTGCCCGAGGTGACTGGTAGATTCATTGGTTGATATTATCATTACCAGAGTGTGACACCCCTGATCAAGAGTCACCCTTCCTCTCCATAAGACAACAGGGTTTGAAGAAGAAGAAGAACTTCGTCTGTGCCAAGAATATGTGATCTCCAGCTGCTGTTTGCATTAGAGTGGATGTAAAGCATGAAAGCGCAGATGTTTCACCAGCTATCGAGTTAATCCAGAAGGGATGTGACAGTGTTCTAAGAGAGGAAAGTGGAAGTCATCTTGCCAGTCATTTTCATATATAAGATTATATATTAATATAGTATAGAGTAATATATTCTAAAGCTAATCTGAAACCGTTACTGCTAGTGTTGAATATATATTAAAGGACCAAAGACTGCCAGACAAAACTACTTGAATATGACACCAAACGTTCTGACCTTTAGTCTGATATAGTGAATGCATCTTCAGCATCTTCAGCATGTTTCATAGCCTCAGAGTGTACCATCGGGTTCAGGAATGGATGGGAAACTCGCTACCACCGGAGGAACGAGGCTGGAGGATCCAAGACTCCCTCATTCCCATCCATTCCAACCAGCAGTGGAAGACTCCACCAGGAATAAGGTAGTGAGGCACCAGTGCTTGGAAATTCATGATGCATTTATAGTGAAAGAGCTTAGTTAGGGTTAGGGCACTTTATGTCTTGTTTTGCACACTGGAAGGGACTGATCTCTTTTTATGACAGTGTGAGTCAGTTCTGGGACTCCTTTTCTATCACTGAGTAAACTGTCGACCCCTGATTAAGTGACGTATTTTATGGATTTCATATTGTATTCAAGGAATAAAAATAATTGATAAACAATGAGCCCAAATATTGAACCCAGAATCTGCAGGAAGTTTGTGTTAAACAAGTGATTTGGATGAAATTGAGCAGATTATTTCCTGTGAATATTACATGAGAGATTTTAGCTCTTTGGTTGTTTTAACTGTTGACTTTTCTAATACAGAGACTCTGTGTTTAGAGAGGAGGTTATATTTGCAGCTCTGGATCAGCTCAAAGTTTACATCTTAAATAATAATCTAAAAAATAATAGTTTTCCTCACAAAGAATAATGAGATGCTGAGAAATAGGCCTTGTGTGTTTATTATATGAATATAAACTATAGGTTGACTGTGTTTACAGTTGGGAACCACTGACCTAATGTCTTTATTTAATTCTGGAAGTTGGGAAAGTTGCATTCAAATAACTTCTGTTAAATCCTTCACATGCTGTTTGTAGGGATCTGTTCCCTGTTTAGATGTAACCTGTAAGTCATTTCAACCCGTTTCACACAGGAAGTTGTGCCTTATATGAAATGTTACATTGGTATTCATCGGTGACTGTGAAGTTTTACTTGATGAAAGTGTTTGAATTCTGACTCCAACACTAAACTGATGAACAGTTGGTGGATAGTAATCAGTTACTCCGTTACATTACGTCTGCTGACGTCTCTATAACACTTGAATCTTTGTATTATGGTATTTATAAGCTGACATGAAGTTGACCAAAGATGCCTCAGTGCCTTTTCCAACATATGCTGACCACACCACACCCAACTCTCTCCTCCTCTAATTCACACAACACACACCACCACACAACCACAACCTCACAAACACCACCACAGTCTGCTGCCAAATGATGTTGATGTACTGTATTAAGCTGAACAATTAATTCCCCCTTTATAGAATTTGGACTAATGTCTGCTAATGTTTGAATTTGTTCTGTAAACTGATAATATATAAATAAAGTGTTTAAAAAAGGACAACATGAGCTTCATATGGTTTTATTTTTTTATTAAGTAAGTAGTTCAGTCACTTAATTTTAGGCTGCAGCACATTTTGTTAGGCTGAGGTCATTATTTATCTGTTCACAGGGGCCCCAATGAAGAGATATTACATACAACATATGATCGACCCATTCCAAAACCTTAAATAACTCCATGATAATCATATTTTACAGTCCAGATTTTTAAACCTTACATTAATTTTTTCAGTTAAAAATAAATGTTCATTCAACGTCTTGCAATGCTACAAACTGTCTGACCATCCAGTGGGCAGACTGAAGGCTGTTTCTGTTTCATATATATGATCATTATGTGGAAAATGGATTACCACTGATTGTATAACAGATCTCTCTGGATGTTGCCAAAAAAGAAAAAAAGCAAAATAAACTGCTTTGAATTAGTGCATTGTAACATAAATGTACTTAATGTGCTAACCATTGCCTACATCTTAAGCTAAAGCTAAGCCTAAAGAAAAAAGCATCCAGAAACAATTAAAGTTACAATGTGAACATTTGTAAAAATACTCCTCCAGTGTTACAATGATATCCTCCCCTGCTCTTCTTTTCTGCCACCTTCCCTGGTCCATTTTGGTCCACTTCTGTCCCATCCATGAGACAGCTTTTCCTCACAACTGCAATTTTGCTTCCCAACTGGGGATGCTTTTCTTCATTCTTCAGGATCCCTCTTTCCTGCCTGTGAAGTGCCAACCCAGAAACAGGAAAGTGTTGCAAGTTTGAATGTGTTCATGTGTTTTTGTCTAATCAATGAATGAGTGTTACCAGTGAGAAAACTACGCAAGCAGAACACAAAATATGATATACTGAACCTGGAATAA